CATACCTACTTCACATGGGTGTTGTCAGGCTTAATGTATATAAAAGATCCGAGATACCTGGAGGAAATGAGTTCTGGAAGTGCAAAATATTCTTGTTGTTATAATTCCATAATAGTTTCAAGATGCCCTTCTTGACCTTCACATTTTGGACCAAGCTAGCTCTGCAGTCAGGTCACTCCTTGATCAGTGTTTAGGATGGTACAGAGCACAGTGTCAAAAGCAGTCAAAAGATCAAGAGGATGAGAATGGTTAGGAAGAAGTCATTCAAGAATTTCATAAGATCAATTTCAGTGGACTAGGAGGGTAGAAGCTAGTTTGGTAGTGTCTAAGACGTAGGTGGAGGAGAGCAACTTAAGACAATTGTTGTAAACAAATGGTTGTGTTTGGCAGTTGGTTTAAAATTTCTAATCCTCAGTTGCCCCACCTACAAAAGGAGGATGCTAATGCCTACTCACCTGCAAAACCTTATATGATGCTGGAGAGCCAAGTATTACGTTCAGTTATTGCTGGGAAGCTTGATAATACCTGATACCTCACCAGTACTTTGCCTTAGCTGTTGCCAGGAGATAATGCAGAGAAAACTGTCATTGTTTAAATCAGACTGACTTGTTTCTCTGTTGCTTTAATTTGTTTGTTGGCTATCACAGACTGTATTATTAAATTGCTCTGTATCTTTTACTAAATGACCTTGAGATGTGAGGCACTTTATACATTGAAACTGTTTTGTTTCTATATTTTGCAGTGCCAATAATGTAATAATGCATCCCTGAGTTAAATCTCCTCTTCAGCATTTCACCTTGAGCACTAATCTATTTGAATTACATACTGAGAAGTGATTGACATTCTCTGGGTTTTGAACCCATCATTTAATAAGAGGGAACACATTTCAATAAAATGTTCTACCATAATTATTTCAATGAACACCAGTATGAACATGTTGTGTGAGAGTAATCTGTGTCATGAATGGTGGTGCAGAGTCAGTAGTGTTGACCTAATAAAACCTTTAACATTTCTTTTTAAGGACAATAGTAGAGACAGTCTTCCTGTGCCAAAGATATGGTAAGGCCCTGCAGAAATGGCCAATACAGTTTGATAATGACAGCCCATTCTTGTGAGTACATTAAATGACTTTTCTTTTCTTTTTTTTGCTTTTGCTTTAGAAAAAAATCTGTCATCAAAGCAATACCTGTATACATCTAAGGCGTGCAGGTGGAAATTAATGTCTGCACAAACCTTTGGGGGTTACTTGATACAGCAATATGGAGAATTTATGCGAACATAAAAATGATACGTTTTTAGTGTTCTTCTATGGTAATGAGACCAGGACTGCCTACCAATGAGATGTTGGGATGAAGGTTTGTTTTAGATGGTCACTTCTTCAGTAGTGACTCAATCTCATGGTTTTAAAGTAAATAGACTACATTTAATGTCTGTGAAAGGAGATTAATTGACAGCTCTGATGGCTGAAGTCCTTTATCCACAGACAGGCTACTGAAGAAATGGAGGCTTTCATCTTACACAATGCTCTCTGTCTCAAACCTGGCCTATAATTATTCCCTTTTGGGTGAGAAAATATCTCTGGCTTCTTACTCATTGGTATTTCTGCTGTGACTACCAAGAGCTCCTAATTAATGCCAATGGGGGTGGTAGATTTCTTTCTTTTTGGAGGGAGGAGAAGTGCTGGTGATGTGGACACTTGTCTACTATAAATTGGTCTGACACTATTAAACTCAATTTAATATTTGGTTCCTTCTGCCTCATACATCACTAACCATGATTAAGGTGATGTTTATGTCACGGAGGTCATGGAAGTCACAGAATCCTTGACTTCAAGAGACCTCCCTGACATTCTCTGCTTCAGCTCCAGGGACGGCAGACTCTGGAGCTGGCAGCTAGCGGGGCTCTGGCAGGGTTCCAGCAACAGTGGGCCCCCTGCGAGGTTTCCAACAACAGGTGACAGACTCCTGAGGTGACCATCAACAGCCTCACACAGGGGAGGGGGGATGCCTCAGGTGAGCAGCTGGAGGTGCCCCATTTTCTCTTTGGGAAATATGGTCATCCTGCGGCTCCCAGCCACCCTGGGTGGAAGGCCCTGCACTTGCAGCTGCCGTGAGCAGAGGGGGAACCCCACAGCTCCCAGCCACCAGGGTAGCAGGGAAAACCATGGAGCAGCAGCAAAAGTCTCACAGACAGGACCCAGCTTCTGTTAATTTTTGTTTATTGCCTGTGACCTGACCATGACTTTTACTAAAAATAACCATGACAAAATCTTAGTCCATAATACATTCGCTGCATTCAGAACTACAGCTGTTTGGGGGGGGGGGATGATAATTTTGAAACTCTCTGATGAAAAACAGGGTCAATTTTTTGTTTTGTTTTTTTTTATTTTATTATCATTATTTTATTTTGTATAGATCTGCTTGGAACTTAGTTAACTACTCTACTGATGATGCAGGAGCCAAAGTAGAATTTAGCTCACTCTCCTGTGGCTGTGTTGCAGCCAAGAGCCCATAATAAGCGTTAAGCATATTTTTAGCATTCATATAGGAAAGTATGATTCTGAATACAATAATGGAGTAGATTGGTAGAGGAAAAGGATTCAAATTTTGCAGTGATTTGTATTACCTTAATCACAATTTAAATACAAGAGTTTTATGGCAGAACTGGAAAGGGTCGCTATTAACCATAGGATCATATCGACTATATTTCTATTAAAATATGCGTGCTGAACAGCTGGAGTGATTTATTTTGATACAAGGGAACAGACTTAGTGTTATCAATGAATGACTAGTGTTGTAATTTTTATACACTGAGGCTGACCTGTATTATAATGCAAAAATTAATGTATGGCACCTTAGCTTACCATTTCAGGTTGCCTGTGGAAATAAGTGCTCCTGCTGGCCCTGAACTGGGGAAATGCTCGCTGGCTGTCTCTCTCCACCTGATGTTGTTGTTGTTGTGGAGTGAATGCAGCAGAAGTGGCAATTGGCACTTGAATGCCATGACGGGGTTGTGAAGGAATTTGAAGGACACATTTCAAGATATGGTTTCCTGCTCCTTTATGATATTTTTTTAACTCTTCCCAAAATAGAAACGTGGTTTTTTGTTTTTTTTTAATGATGTGTAAAGGGATTGGCCCTAATCAGCCTGCATATATTATAGGAAAGACAGGGTGGGTGAAGTAATATCTTTTATTGAACCAACTTTTATTGGTGAAAGAGGCAAGCTTGTAAGCTACACAGAGCTCTTCTTCAGGTCCTATATTATAGGAGAAATTCATGCTGGTGGTGAGCTGACACACAGCCCTCCTCACCCCTGAAGCCACTTGGTGGCGGGGGAACTGTGGGCAAAAAAAACAAACTGGGGAAGGCAAAGGGATCGGTCCACTGTGTCCAAAATAAGGTGAATGAAGTGGCCCTAGCATCCAGCGTATGAAGCCCAGCATGACTGGCCTTGTTATTCAAACTCAAAGGTTGGATAGTGTTCATGGAATCCATGACTTGCCCCAGGATGGAGGTGATGAAACTTACACTCCCATATGCTCCACCCTGCCATAACCTTAGGGACATGGGCTTTCTGTGAATAAAGTGTGTTTTACACTATACCACTAATGCTATTGTCTTCTCACCAACCCCAGTGCAAGACCTTCTTCATTAAGAATTTGCCCTCATTCTAGCCATCAGTATAGCTGTTCCAGTTCAAACCTCAAGTTTAGACAAAAAGAATGCTGTGGTTTCAACCAGGGGAAAACTCCATTGGGCATTGGTGCAAATCACAACTGGCCTTGCCTATACAGCTGAGACTGGCACTAGTGCAGTTACAGTGGTAGAGGGCCGCTGGTGATTGAAATTAGGGTTAATTCTATATGTAAACATGCCCTAAGGAGAATCAGATCAATCTTCCACACACCCGCACACGAACTGGCTAATATAGATATAAGAAGAGGCCAGCTAAACCAAGGAAGAGGGAAAGGGGGGAAACTACCTTCTTATACTAGCGAAAGAAAGAAGGTGTTCTCCCTCTGCTGATAGCAGACAAGGATCAACTGTATTCCCTCTTCTGCCCTTGGCTCCCCCTAATGTTAATCCTTCACCTACACACACTAGCCCCAGGCTTCCATTTCCCCCATGAACTGCAGTGGGATGTTTCTTTTCTAAGTGATTGACTCTGTCATCAATTCATTTCACAGCCTTTCCTCATTCTTTCCCATGATTTATTCTTTTCAGTGTCACAGACCACACTTTTCTATGGAAACACCTTGCCAGTCAAGAAAGGCTAGTGCCACCACTGGGTTTTTAGGCTCATACTGTTACCCGGGGTTCTTTCAACCCAAAGCTCTTGGTAACTTTACTCTGTGCAAGGAGGTGTCAGGAAATAAAGCAGGGGGAACATGGCTGTCCGACCGATAGATGGTTGGCACAATCAGGACAACACAAGAGTGCTTTCACTTAAAGCTAAACTTTACTAGTCTGAAGCACTTACACACGTCCGCAACAAGATTAGTAAAACACCCCCAACCCTTGATAATAACCAAAGCCGAGTGTGATTCTCAAGTGGCAACCCGTCTGCAGGTGGGGAACACAAGATACATCCAGAGGGAGAGACCAGTCCCGAAGAGTCCCCCAAAGGAGTCCCACTATCTCAAGCTTTTTCCCCTTATTTATACATTAGTAATAGAATGACATATCCCTTAAAGAAACCTTGTTAAGTAAGCAGTTTCAAGCAAGAGGTTCCTTCTGATTTTTGATTAACCAGGTGTGGGTCTTTCCAGAGCCTGCAGCCTTGAGATCCCAATAGACATTCCTGAGGGTACATCCTGCTCTTCTAATATGTATCAGCAACTTCAATACAATTCTTATCAGGAAGGATGCGGGGTCAAGCTGCCCTTTCTGAGACACCCTAAACCCCCCTCCCCTCCTGCCTTGGTCAAGCTGAGATTGCTGAATGGCCAATTTACAGCTTGCTGACCAGGCTATCTTTAACAATAAGCCATAGTGGTTTTAGGCACTTTACTGGTTTGCCAAAGTCTCCCCGTACAATACCAGCAAAATGTCAAAATCAGTTCAGAATTACCAAGAGCACTTGCACTATGAGAAGCACACCTGTCTTTACTTGTCACAATTTGTCCCTGTATATCCAAGAACTTCAGTATTTAAATATTGAAGTTCTTGTATGAATTTTAGTTCTTGATAAATTAACTGTGTGCACTTCTATCTGTGCACAGAGGAAAGATTTAACGGGCAGGTCAAACAGTCTTGATGCAGACTGAAATACCAGTGATTGATTAAGCTGTTGGAAGTCACAGTCTGGATGCTGCCTTTGTAGCTAACAGAAACTAGATCTATTATCTAAGGATAAATCTGTTAAAGGAAGACAAATCAATGTATTCATTAGGATTTGCAGTGTATTTGTTAAGATGAAATACAATGACATCCTAACCGGAGAAAAGATACTGACCTCCCGCATGGTGGCATCGCAGTGTGTAAAATATGAAATCTGTCAAGCTTGGGTCTGCTGCTACGCTCCTGTCAAAGAGACAAGATCAAAAATTTCTCATGATGACATCACAGCAAGGGAGAATTAGTACCTATCCCATCATTTTAACAAATCATGAGCTCATTAGTGTGTGTGTGTGTGTGTGTGTGTATGCATATATGCCCTCAGAAGCTCTAAGTGAAACTCAGGAGTGTTAACTCCATGTGGCTATTAGTCAAAGCAAATATTTGCACAAACTCACGATAGGCCTGAGATGCAAAGTCTGAATCCAGAAATGGATCTGAGCTTTCTCACAGTTTGGGGTGCTCACAACAGGATTTTGGATTAACCCATTATAGGGATGAGGCAGTTATGTTGTACCCACACAAAGATCAGCTGTGTGCTTTCATCCCAAATATATGTGTGTGTGGGTTTTTTTTAAATTTTAGATTAAAGAAATTCCCACAAAGAGAGAACAAAAATGGTTACCCTGAAAGAGAGAACAAGAGTCTCCTCTGTAACATTCTCCATCAGCTTCACTCATAAAATGCCTCTGCAGATGTGTGGAGTCTTTCAATTAAAGGTGCTGTACCCAGAAAACAAAATCAAAACAGTTACATAGCTAAATATATCGAGGACGATTGTTGCATTTTGGATCCAAATCCAACTCCCCCAAGCTTTAAGCATGTTCAGATCCAGGGATTTAGCCTGGATCACTTTCTTGCACGAACACCTACAAAGTGAAACTCTGGAGTAGTACACAGTTCTCTCTAAAAGTACTCCCCTGCCCTAGATGATTTATAGTCTAAGCAAACAATATGTAGACAAAGGGCAGTGTATGTGATTTAACAAGAGCAAGAAGGGTGAACAATGCAGTTTGCATGTCTTGCCAGTTCTCATGGAAGAGCATCTGGCCGCTGTGACATTAAGGAATTAAAAGTTGTTTTAAAGCTGTTATCACTATTTTATTCTTAAACATCATTATTATCATTATATAAGATCCTACCTTCACACCTCCTCCTTCTACCATTGACTCATTAGCCTGATAATTTTGGTCTGGGGTAGTGAGCTGCTGTCAGTGCAGCTCTGTCAATCATTCAGGAAGAAACCACGGATGCAAGACACAACAATTCTATCAACAGATCTAGCACTGCTTCTGCTTTCCAAAAACTACTCAGCCTGTTTTCCATCTGAAGCACTCAACCGCTGGTCTGCTTAGCAGTTCATGTTTCAGTCAGTGAATATGCCTTAGAGTACCTTAGATGCATTTCAGCCTTCATTTGGAAAGCTGGAAAAAAATGTAAGGGATACACATCCATGCTTTTGGCTCTGCTGTGCAGCAGCACAATGTATTCTCTGTTCTCTCAGCAGTGTAGTTTGTACAGTATGCTTAGTCTAAGGGATTGCTTCCCCTCTTGGTATTCCTCCACCTTCCCTTAAAAGAAAAGTAGTCCTCCCCAGAAAGAGTAAATACCATCAGCTGTTCTTTCTGATGCTATCCAAACCACATACACCCCACATGGGTTGGACAGATGCAAAACACATCAAACATGGCTATTTGCAATTTACTTCAATTTATTTTAGTTTGAAAGTTATTGTGGAAAAGATCCATAATGAACAGCAGAAGGGGACAAGGTCAATCAGGAAACTCCAGGACTGCTATAGAGAGGGCAGCTACTGACACATTGTCTGTTTGGTGCGTATGTCTATCTCCTGGGGTGGAGTGGCAGGAGAGGGTGAAATTGGCCATGGCAGTCTTTACCAATGATACTTGTCTCCAGAGAAAGGGGGGTGGGGCTGGATACAGTTGCATTTGGAATGGGGAGCAAATTGCCAGCAGATTCTTCCAGCAACCGTATAGACTTCAGAATTGGGAAGTAGGACACTAGCAATCCATCCCCAGGATCCTTCTGTGTTAAAGATGTGTTAGAGAGTGGGCCTACATTGTCCATCCTCTTTCCTTGCACCCAATATCGTTGTCTTCTGAGAAAGGGAACAGACTGTCAACAAATTACTTCTGAAGATCTCTGCTGAAGGCATCAGATCTCACCTGTATCCTGTGTAGCTTGTTTAATCCAAAGTATTCTTTGTCCACATTTGGAACTTTATTTGGTTCACTGATGTGTAAATTACCAAAAAAAAAATTCTGGTGGGGTGCTGAGGCACTGATGTCCCACACTGGCTTAGTATATATAATCATGTCTCCCTCTAGCCACTCCCACAGGAAGCCTAAACATCTACTGGCAGCTAGTGCATTTGGAGCCAAAGCCTGGTGAAGTCAGTGGAAAGACTCTCATTGACTTTAATGGAGTTTGGTTTAGGCTCTTACTCTTTTATCTCAAGTGGTAGGGATTTTTGCTTCTATGTTTCAACCTACTCAGTTCAATCCCTACAGATGAGACATGGTGCCTCTATGTATGTGGTCACAATTATGTTTGCATTTAAGGAAGATGTGATACTTCTCCAATAAGTCATAAAGAGGCATTTCAAGGTATAATTGAGGTGAACGGTGCTTTGGAATACACTAAAAGTGTGGTGGAGATGTAGTGCAATCGTGAAGTTTATTTAAGATGCACTTAGAGTATACATCTCAAGTAAACTGTACACTGTATCTGAGCTAAGGTAAGTAATCAAATGGGATATATGCACTTGTAACTGTACTTTATTAGATAAACAGCGTGAATCCACTTACACAATAGGTCTATTTTTGTTTATGTTTTGAAAATCATAATAAATGTAGCTTCCTACATCAAAGAATTGAATAAGCCATTAGAAACAGAAGCTGATTAACAGTTATAGTTGATTGTAAAAATGCAACTAACAAATCAGTTTATTGCACAAACACACAAATTTTATGTAAACTAATTTATTAAAATCAAAACCAGTAAGGCTCAGATGGCCACAACAAATATATTTCTCCAAGTATTGATTCACACACATACCAATATGTTTTGCATAGATCAGCTCAATTCATAAAGCACCAATTTATTACAAAGGCAAACATCCAAACCATAAACAAATCAATTATCTTTATGCATCAACCAATAGGTATACAGATACACACACACACAAACAATTCAATAACATTATTGTAGAAGACTCCGTATTTTATTTGATAGCAATCTAACACTGGTGGGCTTTGTGCTAATTATTTTTGTTCTGTCTTATGATGGAGTGATTTTCAAAGCATTGGTAATAGGGCAAAACAGCTTTCACTTCTAGATTACTGGTTCAAATCCATCTCATATCAGTTGTTATATATTTACTGTTTGTTGGTCTCTGCAAAGTACCTTGGAGGTCCTAAGCTCTACTGCCTCGTGTAAAAAATTGCTCTTGTGGTTGAGGAATTACTCGGGAAATCTGGGCTCAGTTCCTGGTTCTGAAACAGACTTCCTGAGTGATGATGCCCCAGTTCCTCATCTGCTAAATTGAGACAATGATCCTTCCTCTCTCCTATCCATTGTCTGGTTTTGGCTGTAAACTATTCAGGCCGAGGACTGTCTCCTACTTATGTGTATGTTGTACCTAATTCAATGGGGACTTGATCTCATTTGGAGCTCCAAGGTGCAACTGTAATAGAAATAATAATACAGTAATTATGTACCCATCACAAAAACACCACTAGAATTTAATCAGCTATAACTGGCTCCCTATTGGTCTTCTTGGAAGTGAAATCAAGGATTCAATAGGCCATGGAGACTGAACTAGCCTTCACACCAAGAGAGGCGATCCCTTCAGCTCTGGGATGAAGCATATAGGGGCAAAGGCTGTGTGGAAGCTGCTCCCTGTGCTGTACCTATTCACTGGATAAATAGAGGATTGCTGAGTCTGCAGGGATATCAGTCATGAACTTTTCGCTAGAATTAAATTCACTCCTTACTTATATATTTAAAAGCCTGTGTGATCTAGGATGCAAACCAATGTATCTTTCCTATGCCAGCATATATAATGTTTATTAAACATATAACTTCGTCCTACTGTTATTTACTTTAAAAGGAAAAATCCTTCACAGATTGATCTTGAATTCGGCAGTGGCACTGCAATTCATTTCATCATATGTCCCTGGCGCTTGCACGCAGTCCTCTACTACCATCTTTGGTTCTGTCAGTTTCAGCATGAGAATAGTGCGGCAAGCATTGCTGTTGCTACCCTTATAGCCACTTGTAAACCTCCTTGTGAGATGATGAGCTCAACCTTGACAGCTGTATTTGGTACTCTCGGATGGTGCTCAGACTAATAAATATATCAGACTTCAGAGGCTACCTTCCCCTTGGTCTTTTCAAAGAACCAGTCATCCATAAAAAATGACATTAACCTTTATTTTAATTTCCCCCTTATGATACTGCACACTGCTTTCAGGAGTTTACTGACCTGAGCTGGAGCTGGTGTAAAATTACATTGAGCTGATGTGGGAATCCCAGTGGCATGGTGCACATGATGTAAAGGCAAACCCAATTATCTATGGCATGAATTTCACAATATGTTTTGGTTATTTAAATAAAATGCAATTAATGCTACATTGTTCAGTGCTAAACCAATCTGATTTATATAATTCGTAAAGTATTTGGGTGATTTAGATGCTAAAATCCTGGGGATCTGGCTCTGCAATGAACACCACCTAGATTAGAGGTAAAATAAAATAATTTTTTTTTAGCGGGTCTTGTTTCTTTTAAACCTCTGAGAAGCTGGCAGTGTTAACCTACTGTAAGGACCAGTCTACATGATTTCAAACAGGTTTCATAATGTGGTATGTGACACTCATCTAGCCTGTTTAACACAGATACACTTGAGAGGATCCCACACGGCAGCTCTTTTCACAACACAAAAGTGCAATGGTGGGGGGAAAGGCAGAAGGGGCTTGCTATCCCTCCTCTTGCCAATGTCTCAGATTTTGTCCCAGTGCCCCAGCTCCATTCATGGGGGCTTCAGTCTCATATGACATTACTCCTGAATATTTGGAAGTGGAGATTTCTCCCTGAGACAATGCCGACTGCTACACCTTCTCAGATATGGGACTCCAGATGTTGTTCATCCTTCATGAATACCATGCTCCTCCTGTTGACAGAATGGAATGTCTGCAGCCAGGGAGAGGCATAGAGAGATGTGTGTGAATAATGGATTTTTGAGTTTCTTGACCATTTTTTTTTAAAAAGAGTATATATATATATTTGAAATGTTCAGTGAACTGAAAAGTAAAAACAAATTGTTTTGTGTCAAACAAAATATTTGCTTTGACAAATATACTTTTAAACATTTTATTGTTTTTAAAAATAAAATTAAAGGAAATTTTAAGTCATTTTGAACCAATAAATTGAACCATTTGGTTTCAAAAATGTCCAAATGAAACTTTTTTTTTAATTATTTCTTAGGGATTCCTGTTTCATTTTTATTAGAGCATAAGCTTTCGTGGACTACAGCCCACTTCTTCGGAAGAAGTGGGCTGTAGTCCACGAAAGCTTATGCTCTAATAAATTTGTTAGTCTCTAAGGTGCCACAAGTACTCCTGTTCTTCTTTTTGCGGATACAGACTAACCCGGCTGTTACTCTGAAACCTGTTTCATTTTGTTGTTGTTGTTGTTGTTTTAATCACGCAATTTAGCGAAACAAACATGACCTTGTGGAATGCGCTGGTATAGCTGAATCTACTTTTTTTCTCTGAAAACACTTTGATCCAAAAAATTCCACCTTTCTTTAATTGAGAGCACATAAAGAAAGAACAGGGGGTTGTCATCTAGATGGACATCTGATGGGGTTTAATTTAAAAGCTTTGATTGAGCCTTGGCCCAGGATATGAATTTCGTATTATGAACCTTTATTTTAATTTTTAAAGTTAATCAATAGGTAGATGTGTAACACCTGGGGGTAATAGATCTTGGATACAAAAATATAAAAATTAGTGGGAAAAGTTAAAACTGTGGTGGCGGTAGGGACAGAGGGTCACACAATGTGTGTATTGTCTTCATCACTTTTCTTGTATGGTTTATCCTCCCTACACACACACACACACACACACACACTACTTACTTTTTTTTTTTACACTGTGC